ATAGATTCATTTATAGATATAGATACATATATAGATATGGATACATATATAGATATAGATACAGATACATATGTAGCTATAGCTTGTCCTTTTTTAATCAGCTGTTGAGGATATTTTCATTTATTATTAGAGGGAAAGGAAAGGAGAAAGAACATCAATGATGACAGACAATCATTGTTTGACTGCATCCTGCATGCCTCACACTAGAGATGTGTCAGCAACGTGAACATGTGCCCTGACCGGGAATGGAATAGTGACCTCCTGATTCATAGGTCGACGCTCAACCACTGAACCATGCTGGCTGGGCTGCTCCTGCACTGTTAGGATTCACAGAGCTCCCTGTGTACCTGGGCTCTGGTTAGTGTGACTTTGGCAACATAATAGGTGACCAGGCCCCAGCCCTTCCCTCCACTTCCCTCTGACATCAATGGCTATGGGCCTGTCCACCACGATGCTCTGAAGCTCAGAGGCCCCGAGAGGTTCCCTCAGCACAGGTGTGAGCTGTTGGAAGTGCTCCTAGGTCTGTGCTCAGTGTGTCTTCACCTGGCAGAGGAGAAACCTGCACAGACTGACATCATACATGGGCCCAGCATGTGGGTTCAGGAGAGCAGCTGAGGTCACTTCATGCTGCCTGAGTGGCCCTGGCCCTGGCATCTCAGAGAGGGCCTGGCACAGGAGATGGGCATGAGGGGGTGATGTGAGAGGCTGGCAGGCAGAGGCAGTTAGGGGCAATCAGGGAGGCAGGCAGGCAAGTGGTTAGGAGGCAGCAGTCTTGGATTTGAGGGGGTTCATTTAAGGCAACACCTACCACAGTGGGAAGGAGAGGGCAGACACATCAACACGAGAGTCTTGTGCAGGCCCCATGGGGTGAGAGTGTGGGAGGCAGAGGACAGAGGGTGAGGATGGTGCGATTCTGCGGAGCGAGAGGCACAGCAGAGGTGGGTGGGACCATGTCTCCCTTCAGCAGGTTCTCAGGATGCAGGTCATTTCCCAGGGGAAGAGGACAGGTGTTTGGGCAGGTCCCCCCAGACCAGGTTCTGAGATCCACGGGGATCAAGGCCCAGCAGGCCTGTGACAGGGCCGGTAACTGGGCCTCCTGCCTGCCTCTGTCCGGGGACACCCTGGGAGCTGGGTCCACCTCCCAGGCTGACGAAGTGGCAGGGACCACAGGGGTCAGACCCTAAACTTCCATGTGCAGCCATGTCAGTGAGAGGCAAGCAGCTAACTGCTCCGAAGGGCTCCTCCTGGGGCAGAGCAAGGGCTGATCATCCCCGGTGAGGTTTGGGGCTTGGACTCCGTGTTCCCTGCTCAGCACTGCGTGGAGGGTGGGGGACGTCGCTCTCAGTGAGGGGACAGAAATCTCTACAATGTTTTCCTTGTCAACCAGAGAGCAATCATTAGGGACATGGTGACAGGAAGGGATGAGATGAGAAGTTGACCAGTTCTGGAACACAGCCACTTCCTGCTTTTTTCCTGCAGAGACTCTAATTAAAGACACAAAGAGGGAAGCAGGAACTGCTCCAGGGACACTAGGAGGAAAGAAAGCATTGACCCCAATAGGAAGCCAGCACAACCCCTCCTGGGACAGCCTCAGAGCTGAAACCCTGGGTTTGCTGGTCCTGAGAGCCCCCTGGTGACCTGAGAGCCCAGTGCTACCCAGCCCTGCTGTCTCCCTCAGGAAGGTTAGTGTCTGGGCTCACACTGACTTCCCCTCATGGTGTGTCTTGCACAGTAATACACGGCCGTGTCCTCGGTGGTCACAGAGCTCAGCTGCAGGGAGAACTGGTTCTTGGATGTGTCTCTGGAGATGGAGGTTCGGCTCTTGAGGGAGGGGCTGTAGGCAGTGTCTCCACTACTACATATGCGCCCCATCCACTCCAGCCCCTTCTCTGGGGGCTGGCGGATCCAGCCCCAGCAGTAACCATTGGTTGTGATGGAGGATCCAGAGACAGAGCAGGTGAGGGAGAGGGTCTGCGAGGGCTTCACCAGTCCTGGGCCCGACTCCTGCAGCTGCACCTGGGACAGGACACCTGGGACAGAGAGAACACAGTGAGTCCTGGGCTCAGATGCAGG